CCAGTCTTTGCTGCTTGAGTTATGTTTTGATTTTACTCTCTATATATAGTGTATTATTGTCTCTCTAGTATCTTTAGCTCCATTCAACATTGAGCACTGTCATGGAGAACATCCTCTTTCAAATCCTCCCTGATCTCACAGATCTGTACTATATATTTACCAACTATAACTTCATACATTAAAACTCAAGAGGGAATGGATACGTAGATAAGAGCTCAACTATCAAATGCATTATTTTAAGCCTTTGTGTAGCAATTAGTTTTATTTTTACTAGCACACTTTGGAATTGGTACCTAATTAAAATTAAACTCATGATACAAACAACTCTATCAGCTTGTACAATTTGATCAATAGTGGTAGTGGCAGACTTTATTAGTTCACTATTGCGAGTTCACCCTTGAGAAACTGAGAAATACTGTGACACCGGATGGTGAAACAGTTCTGTCTGAAACCAACTTTATTCCTTAAGAACTGACCCAGGATAATTAAGTGGCAGAAATATATGTGTCTAGATATATAGCATTTGTCATGATCGGCAGGCTTTCCCGCTTGGTAGGATGTAACATCTTCACTGTAGGTTATGGTTGATAGCAGTTAATTTTGTCTTTGCCGAATTGCAGTGCAGAAGCCCACAGTTAATGAACTTTGGCTTTGTGATGTAGCACAGTAAGTTTTCTCTGCCTAGAAAGAGACATAGCCTTATTCATGATGCCACGTTTGATCCTAAGCTCTGAAGTGAGCTCGTCTCTATACTGCTGGAGTCTTCTGCAGGTGGAAAATGGAAAGAGATAAATAAACAGAAGACAATTGAATATTTGACTTTTTTTTTAGTTCTGTCTTCTTTATGGTTTTTGAAAGGATTATTACAGAGAGGTTCAATAGCTCTTCTACGTCCTCCACAACTGGAGAGGTTTTTTTCTCTCTCTCTCTTTTTTAATGCCTTTTGGTATCTCCAATGAGTGTTTTCCAGATTTCACAATACCAGTTAGATATTTCCAAATTTTTAGACTTTTTTGAGAAGATTTTCATCTTCCCTCTGGATTAAAAATGATATCGATTTTAGTTTTGTTAATGTAAACACACTAATGAGGAAACATTTTTGACATATGACCTAATTCCCTTCTTCCCAAGTAATGCCTTGATGTGCTCCATATTTATTTCAGAATCATGCCAATGGGATGCGATCTCTTTTGCTTTATATCATGAACTTTCTGGTAATTTCAAGATTTGGGTTACAAGTAAAAGAAATTTAATATATTATTTTTCCACTGAAGCTGAAGAAAAAATTACTAGGGGTTATTTCTCTCTGACAACAGAGATGTGTTTAGGTGAATCTGGAATATAATACACTAATTTCCTTAGGGACTAGATTAAATGAGATTATAGTTTCAGAAAGCATAGTCCTACTGTTATGCTTTTTCTATCTTGATAAATATTCTTCTACTCACATATGAGCTTTTCTTTGGTCACTTTACCAAACTGTACTAAAGAGAACCTCAATAAGCCAATAAGAGACTTACATAAAATAATACATATAAAACTATTCTTCAATGAGATGCATCTGTCCTGCTAAGTGAAATCTAGAGAAACTGCTGCTTTATACTTCCTAGTTTCATACTGAGAAGATAAACTATTAACCAGGATATTCAATACAATGTTTCTGCACTATTTTTGATATATCAAATAAAGGGTGGTTTCTTAATTCAGCCCTTTCCTATCCATCCGGGCTGGCTTTCTGCCTCCTTTGTCTCTCTTGCAAACAACCTACTATGTTTCCTTACTGAGTTTTCCTTTTCCTTCTCTGTACTTTCTCAAGGGAAGAGACATATTGACAGGGCTGGAATTCAACTTTGACAGTATTTGTCACTGAGAATATGTGTCTTGTTCTGCTCTGTATTATGAAAGTGCATAGATAAACTATAAAATAATTGTCAGAAAAATAAAACTTTCTATAAAATATTTTCTCCAATATATGGAATATAAATTTATTTCTCAAAAATGTTTTGATGTTTTTATATGTACATAGGCCATCTACTGAAAAATCAATCAGTAATCATGAAAAATGGTTTCATTGTTCTGCCTCAGACTTATTACATATACTTCAAGCACCTCCTTTTCTCATGAAAAAAATGTTCTTCTACAAGAACAGTTAACAGCTCTCCAATCAAGAAATACTCCTGGTCGGGTATTTAGCTCAGCAATTCTGTGGCCTGCCTTGCAAGTGCAAGGACACGAGTTCGATCCCCCGTACCAAAAAAACAAAACAAAAAGAAATACTCCTTAGGAGGTGCTGTAGTGTGAATGTCCCATGCCCAGCAATTTCTTGTGCTGTAATACTAACCCTTGAGGGGATGGCATAAGGAGGCCATGCATTTGGGGAGATGATTAGGTCAGAAGGGCAGAGCCCTAATAAATGAGATCAGTGCCCTAAAACACCCAGACAGCCACCATGTTCCTTCCAGCATATAAGTACGTCCCTGGAAGGCACCTTCTAAGAGCCAGGAAATGAGCTGTCATCAAGGAGGAAATCAGCTATGAGCTTGAGCATGGATTTCCTGAGTGCTAAACCTGTGATGACTCCATTTCTATCGTTTATAACTTACATTGTTTATGGTATTTATAGCAACCCGATTGGTGAAAACAAGGGGATTTTAGCTTTTTTCATGTCTTGTATGCATATGAGAGAGACATAGAATAGATATAAAGACAAAGCATTTATTACTCTCCATACAGTTAAAATATTTTAAAAGTTACACTATTTTTATATCTTTATTTCAAGGTCATGTGAGAAGGTTTTGGAAATGGAGGGACCTATAAAAGATAACATTCATAAAATATGTATGAAGTAGAGCTATCCTTTTAACATTTTCTCATTTGCTTATCTATTGTCTCTTGTGTTCTTTTCTTCTGTTTATTTCATATATAGAAAATACACAAATTGAAAGTATTAGCTTTTGTATTCCGACATATCTTAGTCTTGAACAACTACATTTTCTCTGTGAAATAACAAAGCACTAAATTCTTTGAGCTCTCTGTTGTAGAGATTTAGATGTTTAAACAGTACTCTCAGCATGAAAATTATTTTAAAGATAAATGAACTCAGAGCGATTCTAAGAACGTAATCATTTTATGTACACTTGAACACCATATGTCGTAGTCCAACTCCTGACTGAGCCTCAATGTTAACCAAACTGATTTCAATTAAGTATTCAAATAAAAACTTGATTAAATATAGGATGAAGTAAGTCAATTTAAGTATGTGACATGCCAATGCCAAGGTTAAATCTTGTGCTAATGCTCTCTAGACTGAAGATATGTTAGGAAAATTAAAGTGCCAGAGAAGGAATTATTTGCAATACCTCATCAAACATAATTGAATTTGAGTGTACTGTGCTTTATAACGAAGTGAAGCTACTGCAAATATTGCATTTCGAGAAATGAAAGATAACCTGCCTAGTGGGATGAATGAAAATTTTGTGTTTTGACAGAAATGATCAAGTTTCAGCAGTACACTATCTACTGGATTATTCAATCAAACTCTGGATACTCTACACATCCATTTTATCTCTTGGGTATCTAATTGAATATTTTCTATGAGAATAAAATTACAGAAGAAGAGGAAAGAGTAGGAACAAGAAGAGACAGTAGGAGAGAAGACTGAGGTGGGGAAGAAGAAAAGAGGAGGAGGAGGAGGGAGAATGGGCAGAAAGAGCGGGGAGGAAGAAGAGGAGGCGGCTGACTCAAAATGCACAAAACACTTCGAAGAGGATTTCTTCTTTTATCAACAATACATCTGGGTCACAAAGGGCATACATATCGCCTTTGTTTCCACTTAGATAAATACAATTGTTTTTCATTTTGCTTCACTCGGTGTTCTGTTTCTTTGCCTCTTGTGAAACAACTGTGCCAGCAGATCATATCTACAATAGGGACAAACTTCTGATAAATGAAAACAAATAGAGTGAATGGTGAATAGTTTGCATGTACAACATATTAGAAATTGATATCTTTTGGTGATTTTAGGCACATTTTAAGCAAGATTTACTGTACTTTGAAAAATGATACCAGATTGTTTTGATTACTTTGAAAAAATG